AGGCTTCCAAGAATAGATACACTAATAATTTGACATTTTCATATACAACACTGGATAAAGACAAAGATTGAGGCAGAAATTTTCCCATCTCAAATCTTTCAGAATATATGACCAGGTTATAATGTTGTAAGAAACAACTACAAAATCTCAGTAGTAAGCAGACCAAAGGTTTGTTTGTCACTCATGCTAAATATCCAAATGGCTTTGCAGTGGGTTTTCCCTGCTCATTAAAGTCACTAGAAGTAACAAGATGATAGAGGTTCCATCTTAATATGTGCTTCCATAGTCACTTCAGCAGGTAGAAAGGATGACCTTCAAATTAGAATTTCCTGGACCAACATGTTCTTCAGGAATTCTCTCCCAAATACCAACATACTGCTTCTTAAGCTCACCTTCTGTCAACTTCAGCACTCGGCCACTGTGAGAAAAGACCCTGAGATGACATTATTGACAATTTCTATTCCAATATGTCTGTCCTCTCCTTCTAGCAACATCCTACTGCTGATTTACAATGTGGTATCCTTGTGAGTTCAGTGACGTATACCATCATGGCAGGAAACATTCTCCTTCCAGGCCACCTCTTCCATGGTCTCATTTCTGAACGATATTAGTGCTGGATACAGAATTCTTGGTTAATGGGTTCTTTCTTTCTTTCAGTAACTTAAAGGTGCTCTATCGTCTCCTGCTTGCATTGTTTACCATAACAGAAATCTGCTGCCATCTTCATCTCGGTTCCTCTGTCCACAATTTGTCTTTTTCTCTGATTTTTAGGTTTCCTGTTTATCACTAGTTTTAAATAGTTTGATTAATGATTCTTTTATCGAGTTTCTAAAACTTTGTAGATCTGTGGCTGTATACTTTAAATCAAATTGGGAAATATATTGGCCATTATGTCTTCAAATATTTTTTCTGCTTATTTCCCTTCTTTTCTTTCAGGAACTGCAATTCTATATACATAAATCTGCTTAAAGTTGATGCTGTCTTCATCTGTTTTCAATCTTTTATATTTCCGTGTTTTATTTTAGATATTATTTTGGTTTTTAAGTTCACTATTTTTTTTGTCTGTCATGAGTTATTAATATCTACCTTTAATTCAGTATGGTTTATTTTATGTCTTAGACAGTTTAGCTTTCATATCGATGGTTGATTTGATTCTTTTTTTAATATATACTTTCTACATCTCTAATATCAACAAGCTTTCTTCTACCTTCTTGAATAAATGGAGAGCAGTTATAAGAACTGTTTTAATGTCTTTGTCTACTATTTCAATAAGTCATTTCTGAGTCACCTGTGATTGATTTTTCTCCTTACTATGGGTTCTATTTACCTAGGATGAGGAATGCCTGGTAAATTTGTATGTTTGGGAATTTTTAATTAAGTGCTAGACATTATTAACTTTACCTTGTTGGGTGTTAGATCTTTTTGTATTCTTATCAACATTCTTGAGTTTTGTTTTGGGATGTGGGTACATTACCTTGATCTTTACAGTTTTAATTTATAAGCTCTTTTTTTTTTTAGCCTGGATCAGGGCAGCATTTAGAATATGGTTAATATTTCTCCACTACTGAAGCAAAATTCTTTTGAGTAATCTACTCAACATTCAGTGAATTGTGAAATTTTCTATTCTGCCTGGTTGAATGAAACTGGACT